CGCTCTTCTTTGTCTGTGGCCTCCATGCTTGGAGAGTCAATGGAGCTTAAAATGCATATCCCTCTTCCTTGCCTTTTGGAGCAGGAGTGTAGTCCTCTTGATTTGATAGCGTGCCATTTTGAAAACGTCACTGTGTCTGTTCCTTGGCCTCACACAAATTACTTATTCAGACTGCACAGTCTCATAGGAAACATCCTCTGAATTTTAACTATCAGTTGTTGTTTGTTTGCTGTGTAGACAGTTATTAATCTGTCCCCGTTTTTTGTGGCAACCACTTAAAATAGAATGGTTTTGTTCTGATATGCAAAAACACGTTCTAAGAGAAAAACCCTGTAACTACTTTAAAAATGTTAATTTCAACAGAAAAATAAAAGGTTTGCTAAACAGGAAAGGGGAAAAGTCCTCTAGGGAGAAAAAAAAAAAGTGTTTTACTGGCTTTTTTTGTTTTGGAAACTTTTCTTTTGCAGCAAGGCAGGTGAATTAGCTAAAGGCTATGGTATCTTGCAATTGTATCAAATGTCAGCGCAATCACTGCAAAAGGAGAAGTGAGTGTAACTGTACTGTTCCTGACCCACGGAGTCTCTTTGATGGACATGTCTGCCCTATGTACTTGAAAAATAGGAAAGAAATGGAGGACAGTGGTGATGCTGTTTATTCAGGAGTATAGCTGTATACATTTAGAAAAATAAAACAGCTGAAATACAGGAAAACCTTTTGAAGTCATAGTGTCATTATATTTCTAGTTTCCAATTCTGTTTTTATGCTAGAATAAAGGGTAAGGACCCAGTAAGAAGTAGGACAAAACAGTGTTGCTAGTAGCACCTCATTTTTTTGTTAAGGATTCTTTGAAAACACCAAGCTCTGCAACCTGGCGAGGTGTCTCTCAAAGCTCAAACACTGAAGGAGGCTGGGTTGCCAATGTTTAGGAAGATAATTCTATGTCCCTTTCAAAAACTGTGCTTTTAAGCTTCTAAGAAAACACTAGAAACTGTGAAGTAAGACAAAACCAATTACTAGCCCTTATAAACAAGAAGGTATATTTTCTCTACAAAACTTTTACATTTCCGTAGTCAGAGATTCTTGTTCACTTTTGCATATTACCATATAACCATAAGCATAAAAACACTAAGCTTTTTTAAAAAACAAGCTTTAATTAGCCAGAGCACTGAATGTTAGTATTGCTGCCCAACAGCCCTGTAGGGATCAGACTTTGTTTACTCAGATATTGGCCTTTCACCTGTGATGGCCAGAAACCATAAGTTGTTTTCTAAATTCAGCTTACCTTTTCAGTTCCTTCCAGTCATGCTATCAGGATTTTGTCTATAAAAATCAAATGCCGTAAATAATTCAATAGCACTGAAAATACTGTACATGTCCATACTTAATTTTAGAGTAGTAGTGACATATAAGGCCTGTAAATTGCATTTTGTAATTAAATCTTTAAGTTACCTGCTCTATTTTTGTATCGCTGGAAGTATTTTAATAACACTACAAATTCTTCCTCTTCCGAAAAAATAATAAAATATTTATTTGGTCAAAGACATTCTGAACTGACTAGAGTGCATCTCTATAGAAGCATGGGCTCTTTTATTTCCATACTAGGGATCGCTGTGTATTTTTTTTTCTCCTTCTCCCTGTTGTGCTTGCAGGATGGAGGAGTGAAAAGAAACTATAGTGCCCCTCTCACTAGTTGCTTGAGTCCTGTACCAAGTAGAACACATGAGAATGTGGCTGGATGATGCCATTGTGCTTCTCTTTTGGCTGCTGCTAACAAGAATAGCCTCACCTCATTTTTAACAAAATTGCTTATAGCTCTAAGAGAGGTAGCCGGAGCTTAGCATAATCCTTTCTTCTCTTCATCATATGGGCTTGTCATTACATTCATGTTTACCTTTTTGTGTCCATGTATTTTGACTGGACACATTATACGTGAGCTTGAGGTTCTTTGTGATCAGTACTTAAAATTTATTATCTCCTTATACCACTAGATCCTGTTTAAACGTAGCCTCAAGTGGTTGTTCCAATGACAGAGGACTGTCGTGCATCAAGAAGCCAGTCTAAGTCTCAGAGGTCCCAGCATAGTGTCTTGATTTCTGTACAAGAACTGCATGTTATCAAAAGCAACCAGTTTGCATGGTCAAACCTTAGTCCTGGCATTCCCTAGCCTGTTAGTGTCTTCATTGTGCTG